ACTTGTGTTTTTCTATTATATATGACTGACATTTATCTATGATCTTCTACTTTAAACGTTTTGCATTTATTGTTACCATGTTTTGTTACTGTAGGCGGCTGTCAATTACTGTCTTAACTATTCTGGAAAATCTTAATATAATAACTTCAGATGTATTGTTCAATGTATGCAATAATATATCAAATAACTCTGTATATTGTACAAATGTAAAAACTTTGAAATTTGTGACATTTTAGTGCCTGACTGATCTGTTTTGGGCCCCGACCTAAGGTTGTGGCCAGTAAATAGTAGATGGTTTTACCTCTGAGTAACATATTCCGTTTGTTGCCTTTAGGCTAACTTAGGTCGGAAGTTGCTCAGTAGGTCAGTGTTGTAGTCCGTATTACTTATTCCATAGTCTTTTGACTGATAAATAATAAAGGAATTCCCAAGTGCTTGATCCAGAAGATGGGAAAAATATCTTTACGTAGTATTTCTTTCCACGTTTTCCGGCAATGGGATAATTTGTAAGGTGTTGATAAACTTTATCAGGTGTCGATAAAGTTTATGAACAACTCCCATAGTTTGGTCATAGTCAGCAACTATTGTAGGTTTCAGTTTTTTTTACTTCTTCCAGTATTTCATCTCGATCATTTCTGCAGTATGGACTGAAGATAGTAAGTAAATTTCTTTCTTTTCATGCCATTTCAGGACTTTTATTACTTTCCCACGCTGGAAAGCCAGAATATCACTTTTTTTTTTTTTTTAAATTGAGTGGTAAGTCCTTCCTGATTGCTCGTATATTTGTAAATTTCAGGTATTGGACAAAGTGCATTTGAACTTCACGGAATAGAAACACCAATTTTTCTCTTGCCTGAACTTAGGTCGGGATTCCAAAATTGCCACATTTGCGTTGCCTGTATCGAAATAAATAGCCATATAACTAGTTTATGATGTTATACATTGTATAAATATAGCTGACACAGAAAAATTATTCATTGCTCATATTTTACTGTTATAGATGTACAAATTTAGATGAATCAGCAGATAACATGTAGAATAAACTTAAAATACACATGTAACATATCATAATATCTTGACAGAAAAAAGGCCAAGATTTAGATGAGGAAGGGTTAGTGTCAGAGATTAGAAATTAAACTGAATGTTTTAATATATTTCCTAAAAGAATGCAATCATTATCATATTATATAAATAATTATTTACAGTTTTAATTTGAATACTTTTATATAAAAGATTTTGCTTTTTATTATTATATAAATATAATGTGGGACATAGTAGAAAATTATGCAGGTTAGTAAGTTACATTCCTAAATGTTAACTTTTGGAATTGAATTTGTTAATTTTTAGATTAGAAATACAGAAATCACAGAATTAAAAAAGGCTATTAAAAATTATAATTTTATTTTGCTTACATATGTATTTCAATTATATTTCCTAAGCTCTTATGTAATAATAATATATAATGAAGAGATAATAATTATATCAATATTGATGGAAAATTAATCTAATAGAAAGAATATAAATCAGAATTAAAATGAAAACAAGAGAATATAATACAAATAGTTAAAAATTGTTTGGTTATTTTCAAGGAAAGATAAGATCGAATTGTTGTCAAGTCCAGCAAATTCAAAATTTAAAATTTCCAATTCTACTAGATCTACTTCTAAGAGTTAAATTGTATATACACAAAATTTTATAAATTAAAATATAATAATGCAATTATACACAGAAATACAAAACGGCTTAATGAATGTAATTTTTGTACAAAACAAATTTAGATTAGATTTAACTATTTAAATAAACAGAACCTAAGAATATTATCTCTCTCTTTACTAAATTTTGAATAGCAAAACCCCGAGAATTGGAATATACATATCTTATAACTCTTTCTTTATTCTTAACCTCTCAAGAGAATTTCTAGATCAACAGATTTTTAAATGTCCTTATTTTACAAATTACAGTTACAAATAACCATGCCTTATATTGAATTCAAACTTAGCCTCTTCGCTAACCACAATACAGACCTTAGCAGCTTAGAAAAACAAATGTATGTGATTTATAATATTATAGAATACAGAGTAAAATAAATATAAACTGTATTAGAATGAATGAAATATAAATAATTATACATAAATTTACTTCAAAAGTAATATAAAAAATTTGTTTCATGAAATTTAATCAACAACAATTAAATAAATATTTACATCATAACAATGTATGTATATTTAAACTCCTTCTTTTTAAATACAGATTATTTACACACTGTTATGTCTTTAAACTGAATTTAATTTCAGTTTGCGAAAATCAAATCACATGAATTCATTTTCAACCCATTTCATTCACTTATTAACATCAGTTATTTATAATGACAAAATTTCCTTAATTTTAAGTATATGGGTTAAAAAGCTGAGTATTTCTTGAATTATCAAATTATAACTGTTAAAATTTCCCTTAATATTTTACTTCATTTCTGAAATTGTATGCTTATATTTTATTACAGTTTATAAATTGATATGAACAATATTCATGTAATACAAATGAGTGCATAATATATAAATATGTGATGTTCATTACATCTTTTATGTGTTTTCATAAAAGTTAACAATCACTTTTTCTGAAATCTTGCGATTTTAAGTGCAAAATCAGTGCATATATGAAATAGAAATTTATTTTTTAACATGGCCAATGCAATTAAATTCATTTATTGTGAGTCTGATATTAATAAACCACATTTTAATGATATGCTAATTTACTGAAAAATATTACAGCGATTCATTTGAAGGGTGAATTAAAAAAAAAGCAGTTTAAAATATCAGGTATATACCAGATCCATAAAAGTCCTTGAATAGCCTTTATTTACACAATCATTGGTAATATACATATAATACTTTTTCAAAAATGTTTTAAATAAGGCAGATATCTATAATTTTGCTTTAAGTAAAAAAAAAAAAAAATTAATTATAAAATCTGGTTTTCTAGTCTTTATAATTTAGCAAAAGTTTACATTAATTCTTTTAAAAAAAAAGTTTGATTCCTGTACAAAACAGAAATTGAAGATTTTTGCAGATTTTCAGTGCCAGAAAACCAGTCACTCTCTAAGTTAAAAATAAATTAGGATAGTTTGAGGTTGATTTTTCTTTCCAGATAATGACATCCATTGATATGCCTTTGTAATTAACAGGTGTGTAACATTCATGATTTAAATTCTGTTATGTCTGGTATGTTGAAAACATTTTTGTAAAGGAGTTTATAAGTTTTCAAATGCTAAAAATAAGCTAATAATATTCACATGCACAGGTCTATTACTTCAGGATCATAGCTGAATAACCATAGAAAAAAATTCTCGAGCTAGAAATAGTTTTCTTTCATAATTTATGCAAATAATGTTTTGAGTTGACTATATACCAATAACTGAAGACTAATTTCTAGAACATATATTCTGTGAATAGGGGTCTCCTTTTAAAAAAAGTTTGAATCGATCAATACTTTTAATGACAGCAATGCTCTTTACTTAATCTATTAATATCAGAAACATTTTTTAAACTGATATTTCACTCTTCAATATGTGCAACTCCTAAATATGAATTTAAAATTAAATATCTTGGTCAATTTTTGTTGCAGAGAAATCAAACTTTTTGTGCTTTGTTTTTTAGAGTATAAATTTTACTTATTAAAACTTAGGAATGAAGGGATCGTATAAAAAATAAATTGATTTAAAAGTGAGCAATGGCAACACTCTACAGAGAGGGAAACCGTTTTATCTCCAGTGCGTGGAACTGTGTATCGGAAATTTTAAAGATATGCTCATTTTAAAATTATTTTGCGACATTGCTGTTGAACTGAACTTTATGGTTTAAGTGCAAAGAACAAGATATTTAATAAATAAAGGTAAAACGGTAACATACAAAATGTTAAAAAAAATGCCCCTTTGGACATAATTTAAAACCCTTCTTTCTTTTTCTTTTTTTTTTCCATGGCTTATTCTGTCATGTACTTGCTGAGTCTAGAGGTTAAGTAGCAGGTAGATTTGATGTCAATTGGTATAGGTTAAAGTGAAAAGTAAAATCATAATTAGCATTACTCATAACAGAAGACTGGCTTGCCTAGTAAAAGACCTGCTAATCAGAACAAACCTGAAAGCCTGATGTAGGCACAGTTGAGCAAGTTTTGAAAGTTAGTTGTGCTCTGTCTGTCTGACGCAGTTAGCGTCGTATAAAATTCCTGGGATTATAAACTAGTTAGTATAATTTAAGGTTCCAATAAGCCACTAAAGCACCAGTTGTTTTATATTAAGTCTCACTAGATACAAAGGATAAGTTTTACATAAATTTTTACACTTTTTTATTATGTCTTGTGACCATGGTAAAAATTAATGAAAGGTAGTAACTTACTTTAATATACGGAGATAACTTTTAAGGGTGAGTAGTTAGTTACAAATAATAAATATCCTTAGTCATCATAAATTTACATGGTCACTATTAAATTTTATTTGTGTTTTTAAGTTTAAAATTGGCATCGGTTTTGTACAAAAACTCTAGTATTTTGAAGAAAATAGGTCTTCTAAAGAGAATAAAAACATTCCACAACAGAAAATTACGAAATAGTTTTTTAAAGTTTCATCTCATAATTTTTGCTCTATTTAAGATAGAATTTTGCATAATATATGATATGATTTCTTCCTTTTTAAAAAGTATTTACTTGTATTTTTTACTTATACAAGTAATGCATAGAATTTTGCCTAATACATGATACTATAATTTTTCTTCCTTTTTTAAAGAGTATTTACTTGTATTTTTTACTTGTACAAGTAATGCATTTCTGACCTACAGCATGATATTTTTATTCTTGAAAAATAAAACCTATCTTCCTCAAATGAGTTTTAATCACAGATTACAACTCATTTGTTACATTAATTACAACTCATTAAAATACATGAATAAATTATCTAATTCAGAGTATTTAGTTGATATTAAAATTTTAAAAAAGACATGCACAGCACATATTTTATAAATTTTAATAAACAGTTTTTTTTACGAAGTTAATTCAAGATCAAACATACAAAGCTACAGCATTTAAAAAAATACTTTCAGCAACAGATTTTTAATGTGTATAGATAACCTATAATTATTTATGAATAATTTAAATTGGCACTAACATCAATTGAATCTTTTAATGCTGCTTGATGTGAATGACTAATACAAGAGGCATATTAAACTAATCATAATTAATTTTCTGAATATCTTAAAGTACAAATCAGATAATTATATAAAATTGTAACTGAATTTAAAAAGTTTAATTTTTAAAGTCTGATTTTGATGACCTTTCAGAAAGAAATTCATTGATATCTGACGATACTCTTTCTGGATAGTTTAAATGTACAAAATGATTTCCATCAACATATTTAAGAACAAACTTCTCGCAGTTTTCCCTATAAATATCTAAGAATTGATCTATAACCTCTGGTGTTGCTGATTTATAATGAGGGTGTGTATTATTAGCAATAATCATTAGTAATTCACAACGAACAGCACGCATAAACTGTTGCATAACTTCATGACTTCTTCTGTTTATATTTTCAATAGTTCGACATCTTAAATCTCTGTTAAAAACTACACCGTTTCTATACTTTCGAGTTCCACGCTGATTCAAAATTTTTGCACTCTCTAAAGTTACTTCATTAACCATGCCTTCTCTCAGTCTTACAGCTGCACTTTCAGTTGTGTATAATGGTGGTTCTTTGGACATTTTGCTCTCATTCTTGAAGTAATTTTTAATACCATTAGTTATTTCACTAGGAAATAAAGTAATATCTCTTGATGTAGGTTTGACTATATCAAGTACCACAAGCTTTCGAATGACGTCAGGGAAAATACATGCAAACATCAACCCAAAACATCCACCTAAACTATGACCTATTAAAGAGCACTTCTTCCATCCAAAATAATCAGTTACTCTTTTAAAATCTACAATTAGCTCTAAATCTGTGTATAAAGACCCTGGAGGTCTTTGTGAGGATAAACCATGCCCAGGTGTATCCACAGCTACAATGTAAAACTCTTTGCTGAGTAAAGGTATAAGTTTATCAAATGTTCCACAGTTATCCAACCATCCATGTAATGCCAAAACTGGATAAGCGTTCTCATTGCCCCAAGCTTTAGCAGCTATTTTACCATATGGCATAGGTATTGATATTTCCTTTACATGAGAAATATAGGCTTCATTTGATCCACTTGCAGATCTATAAGAAAAACATAAAAAATATTAATATTAAAAGTTATCATATATATCAGCATTTCTTAAACTTAATGAGTTAAGATTCTTCTTTTATGTGATAGAAATTTTGCTGGAACCCTAATAAAAAGTATATTCTCTTTCTCCTTTTTCATTGTACTAACATGTATACAAATTTGCTTTTCACTGCAGAAATTATTACAATCTCTACAACTTTGCAAAAATTAACTTTATTAATTAAAAAATGTAATAATACAGTTGTATGTTATTATATAAGGTAAAATATATCTGCTGATTTCCTATAAGAGGAGTGAGGTTATTTTATTGCCTGTGTAAACGTCAAATACCTGATTCAGTGTTTTAAATGTGTATTCATAAATCTTGTTTATTATTCAGTCAATTTTTATACTTAGTTTTCATATATGTGTGATTAGAAAAAGGTCTTTGGACACACATGTAAAGTAATTACAACTTTTTCTCTCAGTTTTGTGCATATATTCCTTCAGAATTTTGTAACTTAAATTTTAAAAATTAATATAGTTTCTAGTATGCTCATTTTTATTTCAAATTTTAATATCATCTGCAAGTAAGTAGGTTACTGTAAGCAGGTTATTTTTAAAAAGATGAAATTTATATTTAAATTGAAAAAAATTCAACGTAAACTTTTCAAGGATGCTACATACCACATTATATGTTACAAAATATAAATGAAAATGTAATCCAAATTACAACTCAGTTTAAAATACAAGAATAAACTGTTTAACTGTCTAATCCAAAATACTTACTTGAGTAAACTGACATTAGAATTTAAATAAAAAGACATGCACAGAACATATACTATGGTATAAATTTTAATACCATATTTTCTTGTGCAGACGTAAACATGTTTTTAGAAAGCTACATAATTCAGAAGATACTTTCTGTAACAGATTTTTTTATGTGTTTGAAACTTTTGATGCAATTTGATATGAATACTAATACAAATGGCATAGTAAACTAATGATAATAATTTTCTGAATGTATTTATATTGATATTAAAGTACAAATCAAATAATTATATAGTCAGAAAAGTTACTGTACATAAAAACAAGTTCCTAGGAACTATCACAAGATAATGCTAGAATGTAAATTACTAACAACCATCGATTTTGTTTTGCACTTTAAAGTGTGTATTGGTATTTTTTGCAAAATTGAATTCAATTCATTCAATAAATCAAATCTTTGTAAAACACACACAGAAACAACACAGAAAAAATAGGTGAAATGATTATATATTTAAAATTTGGGCTGTAATAAACAATACGGATTATACAATATTTCTTTCATAGTTTTCATAATTAAATAAGCAAATTTTAGTTTGAAAACTATTCATTGACCTCTGACAATTGATTCCTGGACCGCAGGAATCTGCTTACTACAGTTTAAAAATTGGTGGTCTATTATAAATCAATCAGATCTGAAGGATTAGAAGTCACCATTTTTTTAATCATGTTTTGTTATATAAATTACATCTGTAAAGGTAGTATGCAATGTATAAAGAAACCAAATTAATCTTTCATTCAAAATTACTTGAAAAACACAAACCTAGCTTTTCATACCTACCTTTCATATACAGTCAAAAGTCGTTAATCCGGACTCGTCGGGACTTCGGCGATTCCGGGTTATCGATTTTTCCAGATTATAGATCATCAGTTTAAATCTGGTAAGATGGCATGCAGAAATTATAAAATTAAAAATATGAAACCATAATTTATGAAATAAAGAATAATTATGATCTAAAGGGTATCAAAATTTACAAAAAAAAGCTTAATATTTATTTGTTTACTTTATTAAACATTTCTTTCATTGTAAGTTGTTTAGGTTGCTTCGTTTTTTATGTGATAATACTTTCTCTTTAATTCTATAAACAGACATAATTTCTTATTCAGTTACAAAGTTCCGCTGTTCAAGTCCTATAATTGCTGTGTCGAGAATACCGACTAATTTGCCAATCGAAATTTTTTCGTTTTCAATAACTTCTGTGTCACTTTCTTCTCTATCGGAAGCGAATTATAATGACGAGGAATTTGATTTAAATCATATCAAAGACGGAGTACATCGAGATCAAATACTACATTTAGTATGGAATTATAAGCCAAATAAAATAAAAACATCTGCCCTGAAGATAAGGATAGTACTGACAGATCAACTTCCAATTCATTGCGCGTCGAATTGCGTGAAATTGATAAACAGATTTCGGAATGATTAGATAAACAAATGATTATGCCTTTATCCATTTTTTGCAGCAATTCCACTTTTTGTTTAATGGACACGGACTTCGAAACATACTTTCGCTTTGTAGATCCTTTACATGTTAGTCAATATATATTGGAAATTCTATTTGACATAATCGAAAGTTCAAGCTTAATTTTATAAAATTGCTCTAACACAGTCTGCAAAAAATAATAAGCCGGATCCAATTCGAAGATTAAGGAACAACGCAATCCGCAACATTAACTGAATTAGATAATTTTAGCTTAGCTTACACCGTTTGTTATACATTAAACGCGCATTCGTAAACGTATTTTGCGCATGCGCACACTATTCGCAGCCGTAAAGATCTTACGCGCATGTGTCAACGCGTCGCATGCGCAGAAAGTTTGTAGCTTTGAGGTCCGGATTACAGATCATTCCGAATTATGGGTGTCCGAATTAACGACTTTTGACTGTAATATCAGACTGCCAATACTTTGGACTGTCTACACATTAATTCTGTATTCATGCATGCACATACAGCTCTTAATTTATCATTATTTCATATGCAGATTTGCTAACATTAAATCACAAATTTACAAAAATAAATTTTTTATTAAAGTAATTATCATTTACATTCTAAGTGCTGAGTACAAATTAATAACCAAGTATTTTGCATTACTCTTTTACCATCATTTTTGAAAAACAGTTTAAGGAATGAAAAATTGAGGTAACCAATAAAAGTAAACACCAACTTTAAATTTTACATTTAGTTCTAATACCTGAAAATTGACTTTGTGGAGAATCCAAGCAATTTTGTACTCGAGAGAGAAATGAAATGTTATGACGACAAAATTGTTAGGATTATTTTTAATAACTAAAGGCAGAGGCGAAGCTAGAGTTTTCAGCACCCAGAGACAACTGAAGAATTTGTGCCCCTTTCTGTGTGCCAAGAATGGAAAACATTTCATTGAAAAATTTCGTAGCATCAATTTGGCACCCCTTGGATGCTGCGCCCAGGGACAGATGTCCCCTCTTGCCCCACCTTAGCTATGCCCCTGACTAAAGGTCATTTATGATAGCAAGAGGAAAATCTGGTAAATTATATTTATGGCTGGCCCTTGGCAAAAATTGGCGATACATGGACACCAAGTTTGTACAATTCTTTGACTTGTTATTTTGGCTTTGTGTAGCAGCGATTTTTTCGCCCAAAAATCACCACTACAAAAAGCCAAAATAACAAGTCAAAAAAGTTGCAAAAATTCTATATCCATGTACAGTAAGACCCCGCTTAACGCAGGGGATCCGTTCCATCAAAGTAGAGCGTAATGCGAAACAGCGCTAAACGAGGCTATCTTAACATGTAAATAATGGAGTTAGGGGAAGATGGATAGAAAATTGGTTAGGTATTAAATTTAATAATGTTTTTTAATAAAAATAAAACCAAACATTTATTTCTTACAAAAATAAAAACAATATAAATGAATATATTTATAAAAACAAATAAAATTCTAAGCCAGTCAGATCATTCAGTCTATTCTGTGTTTCCAATTTTCTGCCTTTTTGTCAAGAAGGCTTTATGATAGATTGGCTTAATGGCATATTGCGTTCAATTTCGTCGTCAATCCATATAGACAGTCGTTTTTCCACTTCCTCTATAATGTTATTTCTAGAACGGGTAATTCTAGTTGCCGATGACAGTATTTTTTCTTTATTCTTAAGAATTGTCCTTATTGTTGAAGTTGCCAAATTCAATGCAGCACTAATTTGAGATTGACTCTCACCAGAATCTAATCTTTAATCACTTGCTTTTTAGTTTCCAGTGAAATGCTTTTTCTGGTTGCTTTCTTTTCTTGTTTTTTATTATCACCCATAATACAAACTAAAGATCATAATATTTGTCACTGTATTAATCGTTATAGTATTATGTAAATTTATACTTACAATAATGTCAACAAATGTTTCAAATGATAAAAATGCTTCCGTACAGCACCTCACCGCACCAAACAAGAAACATAACTACAAAGTTTCGGATATGTTATTTGGAAACCTACCGCTGCGCACAATTTCGAGGAATCCCCGTAGTTCATGCTGCGAGCAATTTCGGGGAATCCCGAGGTTGAAATAAAAGAGCGCTAAACCGAAGCAGCGTTAAGCGGGGTCTTACTGTATATGTCGACCTATTTTCATTTAAAAAAAAAATCAGAGATTTGCTCAAACTTGGCATTACGCACTACCTTGACTTTGTCCATGTATGCATCAATCTATTTTCACTTAAAAAGTAAAAGCAGCAGCCAACAAAAAATATATAATCTCAATAAAATAAACTACATTTTAAATCAATTAACATTAAAAAGGATATTCACCGTAGCACTACACAAAGGAAATATCCCCTTACCTTATTTAGAAATTAAATTCCCTGTTCTCAGTCAAACGAAATTCCTTAACAGCATCCAAAAACTTTCTAAAATTAACTAGAATCTGTATACTGGCATTGCCACGTAAATTCACAAAAATAAGAGTAAAAAATATCCTCCAACGTTTGATCGTACACATTTCCTTCTTACAAACAGGACATTTATAATGGCTACTTAGTAAACCTTCATTTACACACCAGTCAATTAATGCTCTTTTCCCCTTTCATTTCAAATCGTACAGAAATTCAAAATAATCTTATCACATTCAGCCATTTTACCATCTAAACCAAAAAACAAGCAATGTGCTTCCTAACCAACACACACCACAAGCTCTTACGAATCTTTTCCCATCATTCAA